GTACGGCGGGGCCCTCGGACCCTGCAGGATGTTAAACCCCCGCCGTGAGTGCCGGTCTGGTTAATTTACATGGCTGACCATGAACCTGAGGTGAACTGCCTGAGTCATATCGAGGTGGTGTTCCAGCCTGTCATCTCTCATCCTATTAAATCTAAATTGATGTTCTGGGTATTACGAAAGACCCAAAGACTGTGCTTGGCAGGGCCCAGGGGAAGAATGGTAAAAATGCTCTGCAGGAGACTTCAGTGTCTTCAGTTATCAGAGGGTAAAGCCCACCCAAAATAACAGCTCAGTTAAATGAGACCTTAACATCAGCCAACTCTGACTAGCTTAATCCCATACGAACAGGAAAAATAAAGACGATAGATCAACTGTTTACTGTGACTGTTGCTAACTTGACACTTCTACAAGGCTTGACGCCAGAAGCCAGAGGGTGTGAGACACCCCTGCCCTGACTGCTAATTTGGCCTAAGAGAAGGAGAAATTCCCAGAAATTGGCCTTGGACTGCACAATTAGAAAGGCCATTGGCAGCTTATACTGGCACTCCAGTTTATAAGGGAATAGTTAGAAATCCACTGGAAAGGGACATAGGTGGTAATCAGGCACCATGAGTAAGCAGAGCATGAGGTACAACTGGTAGCCACCAGGGCCAGGCCACCACAGGCCACTCACAGGCCAACTGCACACACCGTACATTAGAAACGCGTGTCGACCCACTATACTCACTCTGCTTAGTACATCAACTTGAAATTATGTGACTGAACGGAATTTTGTTCTTGCAGTCACCCTGCCCCTGCCCTCACCTGTGCTATTCCTACAAGGAAAAGCAAGGAAATACAGTCACAGGAGGATGAACACATAAGTTACTTACACAGCTGCAAAATGCAGTTATGGTACCAGGAGATAACTGTGAAAAAGAAAACCAGCTGCAGAGACAACTGGAGACTGTACTGGTTTACGTGGCAGAATCTGAAAAGGGATTTAACTCGCCCAGAAGACATTTAGACACACTTTATCTATGCAGACTGATTTCAGTACAAGAAGAATTGAGAGCATTCACATGATTAATACCCTGACACAACTGGCTGGAGGAGCTGTTGTCCTTATCCAAGACTGCTGTTGCCTGCTACAATTGCTGCTGGAGGAGTCTTGCGTTGGTGTTGCCGCTTGAAAAAGTGGTGGTAATCATGAATGCCTCCTTTCTGTACAAACACATACAAAGTTCAAGGACAAGTGTGGTATTCAGCACAAATAAAGGCATCACTTCCATTCAAAGCTGCAAGACTTTATCAACACAGGGTGAACGTGTCTCAGTCCTGCCTGCTCCCATCCTTCCTAACAAGCAGCTCTGGAAATCAAGTGATAAGGCAAGAAGCAGCAGCAAGAAAGTACCTGACATGAGAGGAAAGGTATCAAGAGGCATGCCAGCTTCAAAATCTCCTGCTGCATCTGCCCTAACCCACCAAGTGGGTGGTCCCTTACACCTTTTTAGTATAGTGTATACTCGTGAGACACTTCTTTTGCTAGCTAGACCCTTAAGAAATTTGACAATATTCCTCTGTATAGACTTTCCCCTCCCTTGGTGCTCTATTCTATCCTTGCTCAGAAGCTGCCATCACCTGTTGTTCCTCCTGATACCACCCACATCGACACTTGAGCCCTTGAACTACATTCCCTCATGCTCATGTTTCCAGCAGCCAAGTGCAAAGACCCTTCACCTGGAGCATGAAGGCACCCACATGGAGGCCAGCATGCCCCACGGCCACATCTGCTCCTCCATGCTTCTACTAAGCAGCAGCAGTTCTTCCTATGTTCAGAAATTTTCCACGTACACCTGGCTGATGGCACATAGGAACAATTTGTCCCACTTTAGATGACCCCACAGCTATCAAACAGACATCCCATTAATCTGCCTGATTGTAGATAGGTAGCAAAGGTGAGATTGAGATCTTATCTCAGGCAGATCCTAAGCTTCAAAACAAATATGGCTCAATTCTGATGGCAGGCTGCACGTGCAGAGGAAGGGGTACCACACCATACCAGCCAAACAAGTGTTCAGCAGCTGCCTCAACAGCTCTCTACTTTGTGACACAGAGGTTAAGCCTCTGCTGACTGGAAAAGAGGATGTCAATGTTCTCATATAATCCTGTGTTTTATTCTTCCTAATCTCATGTAACACTGGATAGAATGAGTGTGGGTAGATGAGTAAAATACAGCACCAGGGACTACAAAAGGTAACTAAATAGTTACAAGATTTTAGTATAATTTAAGGCATAAATAAGTATGTTCGTCAGATTCCTGCCTCCTGAGTTTCAGTATTTCTGACAAGTCCTCAAAGCACATGAGCCAAATTATTCCTAGTACTAGCAAAAGAAAAAGCATAGAGATGAGATTTTTTTTTTTCAGACAGACCCTTGAAGTGTTGAAAAGTACCAGGCTATAAAGAGAAGTTATTTACTGGCAAAAAACAAGAGTTCACCTCTTGGGCACATGCCTGGAGGAAGAGGGAAGAACCCAATGTTAACATTGCAGTGGATTCATAGACTAAGCAAGAAGTCTGAATAACGAGTAGCAGCTCTTTATGCTTCCACAAAGAATCTGCAAACTCACTAAAGAAACAAAAAAGCGCACAAACTAGCTCTGTGGTCACAGATCTTACCATAAGTTTTTTCTTAAAATGTGTAATTGTAAGGAAAAAGAATAATTAAAAAGTCCAGTATTTTCTTCATATACATATTTACATTAAAAACTCTTCACTGTATTACTCAGCATTAATATGTTGATTGAATGAGCCATGCCAGCAAACTTGATATAAGCCAATCTTCCACTCTGCATAAATAAAAATGTCAATTTTTGAGATCTTTTGCACCAATCTACCAAGAATACCAGCCTAAGGATGCCCAACATACTGGGCTTCCATACTGAAAGGCCGCAATAAGGTCTCCCTGGAGTAATGTGTTCAGCCTGAAGAGAAGACTCCAGGGAGACCTTATTGCAGCCTTCCAGTATCTGAAGGGGGCTACAAGAAAGCTGGGGAGGGACTTTTTGCAAGGGCAGGTAGCGATAGGACGAGGAGGAATGGTTTTAAACTGGAAGAGAGGAGATTTAGACTGGATATTAGGAAGAAATTCTTTACTGTGACGGTGGTGAGACACTGGCACAGGTTGCCCAGGGAAGCTGTGGATGCCCCCTTCCTGGCAGTGTTCAAGGCCAGGCTGGACAGGGCTTTGAGCAGCCTGGGCTGGTGGGAGGTGTCCCTGCCCATGGCAGAGGAGTTGGACTGGATGAGCTTTAAGGTCCCTTCCAACCCAACCCATTCTGTGATTCTATGAACATTACGACTGAGAGCTGTTTACCATGTGCCATAGAAACGACCAATGCAGCTATGGAGAACCAGTTACTATACAGTATTTATTCTGAGCACAAGTTCTAATACATACTGAGGTAATGGATAGTGTATATACAAGGAATGATCATAACACACAGATTTTACATTGTATTTACAGAATTTTAAATACTCAATGACGTAACCACCCGACAGTGTGAAAGAATAGTGCTCTCAAATGCACGCAGCTAACTGTTCCTTTTGTAAACTTTGCAAAAACCCAACCATTATAAAGCTCTCTGGTGAACATACACTTTTAAAGGACTGTATTTAAAAAAGGCTAACGTGCCCGAATTTCTGATACTTTACACAGTCTTACACAGTGCAGGATATTTTTCTCCTGCTTTTGCACATTAGCAATGGCTGGCTAAAACATTGAAGAAGTGAAAAACTTCATCTTTATCCATTACTGCCACCTCAGTTGAGCATTCAGTACATGATACTGGATGATACACTTCCTCCTCTTCTTGATTTGACTCTACAGAAGTCGTTTCTTTGCTGTACTTCATTTTCTTACTTCTTTTCTTTGGCTTCTTTCTGTATTTCAGAATTTCCTCTTTGTTAACAAAGCAGTTCATCACAAACATCGCTCTATATTGTGTTTTGTAAGATTCATGCCTATGGAGAAGGGGAAAAAATGCAAGTCATACCACTGGTAAAACTCTGCTTCCAAGAAACTGGTTATCATCCCTGAAAATTGGATTAAAGATAGGAGATACCATGCCAAAATGCTGAAAGCCAAATAAGTATGATCTATAAACATGTTTTATAAACAAAACCAATTTCACAACTACAAAAATCATTAAAAAAAAGAATTACAGCCATCTGTCTTGCTTTTAAGGCATTTTTAAAAACATGCTGGTTCTTGCTGAAATAAACACCCTGGAGTACAATGGTATTGGTACTACAGAATTACGCATTGCTATGTATAGCTGATGACAGGCACAGATCATGAAGCTGCAACTGCAAATGACTCAAATACTGGCACTTATATCCTAAAATGTCTTGCAAGCCTGAAATTCCTTATTTATAAACAACAAACATGAACACATCACACTTGAAGCATGTCTGTAATAGAACATAAAATGTATTTTCAGCTGTCATCAGTATAACAACTGTATAGCTGGAGTATGTAGCAGAATTCAGGGCTGCAGTTCAATTCAATTCAACACAATCTCCCTTGGGCTGCAGTTTTACAGCACCCTAAACCAACAAAACAGGTGGCTGCAGACGTCCTATCGTGCCTTCTGCTGGCTTCACTGCTTGTGTAACGCTGTGCTGAGCTACTGCAGTTTATTAAACCCACAAAAGACCAGTCTGGCAGTAAAAATGCACGGCTTTCTGTCTGCTTAGCAGACTGAAATACTTAACTATAGAACAGGGTCAAGGAATCTCAAAGCCAGCAAGGGGAAGAGAAACAGCACCCAGCATTTTGATGATTTTAGGCTGCTGTGGAATTTCATCTTCAATCGCCAAAAGTACTCAATAAATGAGAGGTTGTTTATTCCTTATTTCACAACATTTCTTTCTACTTTATTCCCAGTTCAAGAGTCCTCTCCTTAGCACAGGTTTGCAGTACTAATTGGGTTTGCAGTGCAGTCAGATATTGGAGAGCTGCCAAACACATTACAGATTCTCACCTAAATGGTTTCCAAGCGCTTTTTAATATAACTATACTCAAAATCACAACTGCTAAGGCTCAAACCAAGTAAGAATACGCTATCTTGATTTTGCTTAATCTTCCCCTAAACAAGGCAGTTTCACACAAAAATAACGGATAACCTGGAATCATCCTATGCCTCTAATAGGCACAGAAACATCAAGCCAACACATTTGAAAAAAAACCAAAACAAACAAAAACCAAAACCAACCAACCAAACCCAAGACCTACCACCCACAACTCACTCTGAACTTCTTGCTTAGTCTCTGTGAAATGGATTTTTCACAGTTTACCTTCTCGACTACGCTAAAGCTCTACCCTGTTCTTCCTCACCTCCGTGTTGCAGGTTAAGCTCATCCCCATTCTTACAAACTCCCATTCACCCCTAAATCTGATCCACATGCGCCTGTCTTCTCTTTGTTAGCTCCACCTCGCCAGACAGAGTTGATCAAACCAAGTGATCCAACTGAATACAGTAATACAGTTGTTCACCAGTTACCTCTGGCAGTCCAGGCATAACGTTGTCATGCAAGCAGGGCAATTCAAAACAGCGTCACTATTTGGAACAGCTGAAGGTTTTGCTCGCTGCTGCAGTACCCTCCTTTGGTTACGGTACCTGCCAATCCAAGAGAGGAGGAAGGAGAGAGGAAAAGTGAAAATTACATACCCTTGTTGTCAGATCTATCAATGCAACCTTCAAGTCTTTTTTTAAATATTAAAATACACCAATAAATATTTGGCTCCCTCTGGACACCTTTTTCACTAACTCATAAATGCACTAGGGGAAAAAACCACATACCAGTATCTTTTCATTTACTTTGTACAGAGGATTCTTATTTGGTGAAGCAAATACATCTAGAAGAATTACACAAGAATTTGTGCCTAATGACTCTCTCCTCTGAGGAGGCAGGTATCTCAAGTGATCTCTCTGCTGAGATTTCATATACTGAAATATATATATATGAAATAAACATATATTAACGGTAATCTTTTCAACATACTTACATGCAGAATTTTACTCCTGATGCAGCTGCCGTTTTTCTCCTTCACCCGTTGAACAACTCTAAAGCAGCTTTGTACTCTTCCTATTTTATCTGAACATTCTGTGACTTGCTAAATTCAAAGTTTTCCAAAACCATAAATACAACATTTAGCAGGAACAGGTGCTTACTTTAGCAATCAAAGTATCATAGGGCATTACAGGGCATTAAAAACTGAAACTAGCAAATCTTGCAACCTTTTCATCCACAATATGGTTGTGTAGATGAGATCTGGAGACACAACTGGGCTTACAGAACTAAGAACTTCTGATTTTTTGAAAAAAATTGCAATTTTCAGAATGGTGTCCTTTTGAAGACAATTTCCATTACATACACATAAAAATTTTACAGGCTTTAAAATTCTATGCTGTAAATTCCAAATAGAAGTATTTTTTCATTACACAGACTTGACAGCATAGGTTTTGCTCTCTATATTCACCATTTTCATTTAAATTTTTCATTTCACATTAAGCATCCTACAATTCAAATATTTACAGTCTCTTACCCTCTCCTCTGTGAGTCTACCCACTCTTGGTCTCGATTGTCTTCTTCTGGGTCATACAGCAGTTCATCGTTGGAAAGAATACGACGCTGCTGCTGTTTTCTGTTTTTCCGGACGTCCTGTGTAACTGGAAAGAGTTGTGCATCCATCAGATATGTTACATCCATCAAATATATGATGATTTTCTACTTAAATAATCAAAACATCACTTCTTCAGTTTTCCTTTTCCGTATTTGTAATAAATCTAAACTAAAGCTCATCTCTCCTCCAAATGCACCACCCCAAAGCATTAACGCACCTTAAATACATTGGGATACATCATTAAGTTGCAGGAACCACGTTGAGATGATACAGGGTGCTAATTCCCCCCAAAAGGCAGCCTTCGGGAACAGCCCCTTGACCCCCAAGAGGATTCTACAGGATCATAGAGAGTGCGACTGTAAAGACGTCCTCCTCTCTCCTCTCCTCACCCACTTACCTATTTTATCTTCATCCTCCGAGTCAGAATCAAAGTAAATGTCATCGTAGTATTTTGAAGTGGTGGCAGGTCCAGTCTGCCCAGTACTTGAGGAAGTACCTGTGTGTGAAATTAGAGAAGTGGTAAGAACATCCCACCAAAAAGACCACAAGTACACAGCCCGGAACAAACCTTCGAGTTACTCTATCCAGAAGTGCTCTGCTTTATCTGGGTGTGTTAAGTAACAGCTCTCCCAATTTATTCCCACATCCTGATCATCTCATCACTTGTGTTATTTCATTTACAGATGCTCTCTCACGAGCAAAGCTGCTCCTCTCTCCAAGATGAAAATCAGGTACAGTTCAAAGGAAAGTTTCTCCCTTTAGGCACAGAGGACACTTGCATGGAAGATGCCTGCCTGTGCCCTACATAATCCACAGTACCTCAAACGCCCCACAAATCTCCAGTCATGCAAAAAATACACAGGCATGGCACATTGTTTCACAAACTTTGATTATAATGAAATTCATGCCAAAAAATGCCCCAAAATTTCAGGGCCAGAGAAGTTCAAAAAAGACCCAGACAAATTGCCAAGCACATCTGCCACAGCCAGTCTGCACCAAAAATCCTGTTCTTTGCAGAATGCATGCGGCGGGATAAATTATCGCTACATCTTCGTAACTGCCATACCAAAACCTACAGATCACATCTGTCCACTAATGCAGATAAAACTACAAAACCCGCTGAACGCAGAGTGAAATCCCTACATTGAACTGAATACCACGCTGATTCACCAGGAAATTAGGAACACTTCACTAGATGTTTTGTAATAAGTAAAAAGAACATATGCCTTCAAATGCCAAAGCAATCCATCTCTTGCACCCATAGTACTCAAACTCCAAAACACATACATCTTTAATATGGCTTTACTATTTGATGCAACTATTACAAGCAGGTAACCGAGGAACAGAGTAATATTTTTCCTGACTTTTTCCCCCCAACTGATTTGGGATTTCAATCTACCACAAGCTAATCCTTTCTTCAAGGGCTCCACATTTTGATAGCCACCCGGAGCCACTAAACAAAGTACAAGAGATCACAACCTGCCCAAGAGGCTTCTAAATACATGTGAAAGAACCTGAAACAAAGAGATACTGGGAAAAAGGAGACAGATCCAACAAAGAGAAACCATATCAAAGCAGGAAATCAGAGTTCAGAAACACCAAAACTGAAGTCTTAAAAAAGATGAAATGGGTGCATTCTCTGAAGTGGCATCCAGTGACTGTTCCTGCAGACACCCTCAGCCATTTGAAGACTTTTCTGTAGGCTTCAAACAGCATTTGACTGTCAGCACACATCCCCCCGCAGCCACGAGAACAATACATTAACCTTACACCTTCAGTGGACACCACTTAACTCAGGATTTCATAGACAAGCAAATGTTAAGAGCGATTTACCCATTTCTGGCGATTTCCATTTGCCTTCCATGGTCCTCATGGTGGTGTTCAGCTCTGCTTCCATCTCCTTCTGGAACTCATCCTCACTGGACGATTCGCTCTCCCCAGTCAGGCACTCCCGGATCAGCTTCCGCTTCTGGTCCGGAGTGCCGTGTAAGAGCACGTCCACCTCATCTTCTGAGCTACAAATATTCAAACGTTACACACCTAATTATCACAACCAGCTTAAGACATTGACTGAGTCACATCTGAATCGTGTGGGTGCACTGGGAAGCACTTATTCGTGTGTTTATGGGAAATGTATTTATTAAAATGTTTTATCACCTTTTTGGTATTAAAACTCTAGCTTTAATGCAAAAAAGCACGCTGTGGCGTGCCACGGTGCTTCTGCAGCTCCCATCAGCGAGGCTCCGCCCGGAAGCTGGGATGTGTTTACACACTGGCACTTGAGGGGTTACAAATATCCATGCTCCGGTTTCGAGGAAGCAAAGGACCGCGGTAGCTGCGGAGTGATCCTCCTGCAACGCCCGGGGGGCACCGTGAGGCCTAGCCCACCGGCCGGGGCCGTGAGGGAGCTCGCAACGAGAAGCAGCGGGGCCTACCGCCCTGCCGGGCCTGGGCCAGAACAGGCCAAGCGGGATCGGAGGGGAGCGGCGGCCCCGGAGCCCCCCTTCCCGCCC